CAGTCAAGGTCACACAGGTGACAGACTGTTATTCTAGACTCTGGGAGCCTAGAGACAGGAGGGGGCTCCTGTCAAGCCACCTGATAAGGGGTCAGGGTGCCTGCCACATCTCTGTCTTAGGGTCCTCCTCCTCTATGACCCCAGGTGAGGGGTTCCATCTGATGTGCTTGGTAAGGTGTCTCTTTCTGATGGAATCTGATGCCTGCACAGGTGTAATTCTTTTTTGGCATAAACAATGGATCAGTTCGTGTCTCCTGGTGTGCTGACAGATGGAGCTTGTTTCCTGTGTAAACAAGATAGGGGCTATCTACCTTGATACTGGCACTCAAAATGAAGAAACTGTCTTGTTTCATAAAACAGAGTAACTCCGGGCAAGGCACAGCCTGAGGCCACTGCTCCACGTGCACTGAGGAACCAGAATAAGCCAGGCTGCTCTTCTAAGATGGCAGAGACTGGAGTGCCCAGGACATCTGTGTCTGAGGGACAGCAGGCAGGGTCGGGAGGCCCTGGGTGCAAAAAGTAAAGCTGGTGAGGACCAGTGCTTGCCGGTGGCAAGCCCCACCATGCAGACAAGGGGTCGTGGTGGCAACCTCTGGAACCACTACTTAGCTGCCACACTACACTCAAGTCTCTGGAGTTGGCTAGGGTCAGCACTAGGGTTCCCTGTGTGATCTGGGCAGGGGTCATTTTACATGGGGCACAGAGGGGATACTGGTTTGGGCTATATGGGGCAGGAGGATCAAAGGCCCTGAGGTGAGGGCTGAGGCCATCTGGCTCACCCGGTAACTCCTGGCCTCTCTCAGGCCTCAGTTTCCCTATCCACACAAGGAATGGCCATTCCAATTCTGAGGTTCCACTCCAGAAAGATGTGGGGGGGGGCGCTGAATGGACAGACGACCCTGTCTTCTGCCTGCTCCTCCCATATCTGGGCCCCCACAGCCAAGTGGGTGCCTGGCCTCCTTCCCAGAGGAAGCAGGCTAATGTATGCCGCCCCGTGCCTTCAAAACTAGGGCACAAGCTGGGAGCTCTGACAGGCGTGGGAGACCCCTCAGGAGGAGCTGGGGACAGACGGGAAGAGAGGAGGCAGCTGAGACCTCCACCTTCCCCTGTGAGGGGTCAGCAAGTGGCCCAACAGAGAGAGGTACCGAGAAGGTAGCTGACCAGGAGGAGGAGTCATGAGTGGTTCATGGTTGGGCTCCACGCGTGGCTGGGGACAGGGGTCAGTGAGACCAGGAGACAGGTGGCTTCAAGTGGAGCCCTGTCTTTTCTCCCCCCGCCCCTGACAGTTCTCTGACCCTCGGTCGAGGGTCCCTGTAAACTCAGTACCTGTCTCTTGTGCTGCCCCACACAGGAAGGAAGCCACTGTTAAAAGGAAGGCTCTGTGCTCAGGAAGTGGGACCAGACAACGAGGGCTCAGTCACAGGGACCCACCGAGCTTGACGTCTTGAGACTCTGATGATAACCCCAGGGGCAGGACTGCAGTTAGCTCTACTACCATGTTGGGGAGACCTGTTCCCAGTCTTACTCAGCTGAACAGGTGGGGCAGTGGGAGGGGTCCACAGTGTGGAGGGGCTACAGCAAAGGAAGTTCACACCTGAGTCCTCACTGAAGGGGCAGGTGGATGCCACATCACCATAGGAGCAAAGGCAAGAAACGCCTTGCCTCTGAGAAAGGTATGTTCCCTTGGCGGAGGAACAGTGAGTATCCCATGTGGTGAGCGGCTGGCTTGGGAGAGGGAAGGCAGCTCCTGACGGTGAGCACCAGCCCAGATCCACTGACTCCTGCCTCTGGCTCTCAGGAGTTTTTCAGAAAGCAGAGCCAAGAACAGGGGTGCAGCAGGTGGCTCCCCGAGGCAGAGGTCCTAGGTAACGTTGGGAGAGAGAGTCAGTGTAGCAAAGAGGGCCTGGGCCCTTCCCAGCTCCGGGCAGAGAACATTTTGGAGTTGGTCCCTTGAAGCAGGGGGAGCCCTTTGGGCCACTGGCTGTGAGCACCTCCCAAGGCACTGAGTGTCTGCCACACCACCAATGGTAGAAGCAGGTAAGATTTGAACAGGCCTTCCCAGACAGGCCCTAAAACCATGGAGCCTGTGGACCACCTCTGAGTTCCACTCTCAGGCTGGGACAGAGACATGGTGGTCTCTTCAAGGTCACTTCCTTGTTCTGTGACTCTACTGTCCCCATCCTGCATCAGGGAGTCCAGCCTTGGGCCCTCAGGCAGGGAGGAGGAGGAGAGCCCTGTGGACAGACAAGGCCAGGTTTGGCTAGTGCTGGCCATCCATTTTTCTCAGCAAACCTTTTCCATTCTCTTTTGAAGCCCAGGGCAGTGTGCAACTTGTCCAACCCCAGAAATCAGTGCAGCAGTAGAACCTCAAAGAAATCTGTCCTTTTGGGCCTTAGGCAGGGAGGGGGGGGTGTGTGACACAGAACCTTACTGTCAGGAAACAGGAGTAGAGATGGAGCCACCAGTCATCCTGGGTGCTCAAGTGACTGGTGATGGGGCCCTTCTATGGACAGTGAGCTCCTGAGGGCAGGATGGCTGGTCACAGTAGCATAGGCGCTGATCCTCTGCTGGCTGGTGGCTGCCAGTGACAACCAGCCCCAGAGCTGGCGGTGTAGATTTCCCAGGGGCCTGGGAACTGCAAGCTAAGACCTCTGCTTGCAAGGGCACATAGGCAGTGGGTGCTCACCATCTGGCAGCCTGCAGTGGGGTCATCTGCACCTTTGTAGTCCCTGCTTCCTGTCACCCCCCCTCCCAAATCTCCTTTACCTCTCTAGCTTCCCTGAGCCTCGAAGAATGAACCATGCCCCCTGCCCCCTCCCACTGGAGCCTTGCCACACCATTCTGTGCCCTGAGGTCATTCTGAGGGAAAGCCACACATGCTGGGCCCTGGCAGGGTACTGCAGAGAGCCTCTAGCGGAGCAGGGATGGAGGAGAGGAGAAAGGTTGCTTCTGGCCGCAGACGAGGTGCTTGGCCACTTTTCCCTCCCTCCCTGTCCACCTCATCTCCAGGACCTCCACCCACACACCTGTGGACACCCAGCCTGTACCAAGCCCAAGACTGGGAACTGGGCTAGGGCCCCAGAGCCAGTCTTCAAATGTGGTCTGACAGGATACAGGCCTCTGGATCCCAGGCTCCTTGCTCTATGGGGAGGGAAGGACAGGACATGGTGGGGAGCCAGGATTAGGTTGGACAGGGTCTGGCATGTCTTGACCCTCTTGAGATGGCATCCTGACTCCTACCCACTTGAGACTCAGTCTCATTGAGTCCAGGGAGACAGGGCTCACGCCATCCCCAGAGAAGCTATCTTTTACCCTCCTTGTCTCCTTTATAAGGGGTCCTTCATCTCTCCCAAACTCAACATCTGTAGGGGGCAGAGGCTCTGTGCCTATACATCTGCTTTGTGAGTCCGTCCTCAGCTGGTAACATCCTGAGCACCATGTGGCCGTCACCTGCCTTCCCCCTCACAGGTGAGGCAGACTTGATTTCAGAGAAAGGAAGACCCTGCGATGTGAGCCCATGCCCACCTGACCAAACCTCCTGCTAAGCTAGGTCTAGAAGAAGCCCCCCAAGGGGCTTTCTGGAGGCCCTGTCACAGGCCCAGCTCAGGTCTGAGCCCGAAGCAAGCACGTCTCTCTGCCCCAGTTTCCTTGTCTTATTGTGAGAAGACCAAGCAATCCATGAAACCCAATCGATGGGGGTAGATAGCTGGTGGGGCACACAGTAGGGCAAGATCTGGAAAGGAGGGTGGACTGGACCCCTCTGCCCCTGGGTCACACCTCCTGTGGGGCCCTTTGCCTGTTTCCTTGGGTGTAGAAACAACTGTATCTCAAATCGCTTGTATTTGCAGAGCTTGTCAATCAGGGCAGCAAACTTCTAAAAGGGAAAACCACGTCCGGCCGGGTTTTCTGAGAACAGTAGTGTAACAGCAGGAGAAGCTGCCTTGGCCTCGCACTGCACTGCCGTGGCACCCGCCTCCGCCTCCGCCACTTTCCTCCCCATTGTCAGCAGTTTCAGTATTTAAAGGAAACAAGGGAGAAAGGGCAGAGGCGTCTTTCATCCGGGCTTTGGTCTTTCTTGACGCTACTCAGGGCACCTGCTGGCCCTGTGGAGGGGTGATGACACTTCCTGGTGGCAGCTCCCTCCGCTCCATCTGTAACCTGCCCTCCCCACCCCCCTCCCCACCAGGCCTCTGCTCATGTCTGGCAGGCTCTGTCCTCCCCTGGGCAGGTGCTGTGAGGGCTGCCAGGCACCAGCGGGTGCACCTCTTCCCAGGCCCGGCCAACCTGGCTGGGCTGGGCTGGGTTGATGCCATTCCTGGCTCGCCTCGCTGCCCTGCCTGGGGCCCAGAAAAGCAGGACCCCAGCAGAGGGGTCAGTGGGCAGCTGACTAGCACCTGCAGTCGTGCTGGTTTATTGGGCGACTGAGTCAAACAGCCCCTAAGTCTGTGGTGCTCCACACACGTTAACACATATTGGAAGTGTTGTAAAAGCCCAGAATAGGGGCTTAAGGTCATCTGAAAAGCCAATGTACAGAGCTGAGGCCTCCCTGCTGACGACGAACTTCAGCCTGTGCACCCCAGCTCAAGTTCCAGCTGCCCATGAACTTGGACTACCATAGTATGACCCAGGAATTAGACGGCTCCTTGGGATCATTCTCGCTGAACACGGGTCACTCCCAAGTTCTTGGGCCCATGTATGGATAGAGCTGGTCCCCTGTTTTGCAGAGAAAACTGAAGCCCAGAGAGATGAAGTCCATCATCCTGCAGGCCAGGAAACTGACCCTGTCCTCAGGTTCCAGACTGAGCAGGCTGGACAGGCCCAGCCTTGCAGGAGAAATTCCACACATACCAACCCTGAGGGTCTTCCAAGCCTGGGATCCAGGACTCTGGGGTTTGTTTAGAGTCAATCAGAGTCACAGAAATGGCAGAAGCACTCCAAGAAGTTTCAGTGTTTTATTATAACAAAATCTTATATATATATATATATATATAAAAGTCTGTGAGGTAAGATGGCATGGGTGCATGGCCTGGATATTCAAGGCCGGGTGGGGATTGGGAGATGGCCATACCCTCTTGAGATCCCCAGGGTCTCTCCAGGCCCCCCGGGCAGGGCCTCCCTACAGCTTGTGCCAGCCAATGGATATGGGTTATGGCTTATGTGAAAAAATAAATCTGGGGGTGGGAAGGGAGGGCTGGCAGTGGTGCGGGGTTGAGGATCTATTACATCACCAGAACTGGCCCAGAACCTAGAATCCCAATGGACAAGAAAGACAGGAACCCCTACCAAGGCCTGCAGACTGCAGACAAGAGAAGCTACCGGCATCAGGTGGTTGGTGCTGGGGCAGAGGTGAGGTCCAGCTGGGTAAATGGCAGGGCAGGGCAGGGCAGTGCCTGGTGCAGCCCAGGAACAAAGGCCTGAGGTTGGGCCTGGAATTGGACCGAGGCTGGGCCGTGGGGCCTGAGCCTCAAGGATCCTACAATGTCTGGCAGGGGCCAATGGCCATGCAGCGAGCTGGGTTCCCTGCTGAGAGGGCCAGGGATGTGGACCCTGCTCAAGCTGTAGTGGCTTGGGGCAGGCAGCTAGTGGCCAGCGGACCGGCACAGTGGCAGACCCTGACGTCACGCTGGCTTGTCTTCACCTCCAGTTCTTAGGCTAAACTGGGGTTCTGCCCTCTGCCAGGCTCCTCCTCTTTGTGCCTTGTTTTCTCTGTCTCTCTGCCGTCTTGGAACTTCTGTGTAGGCAGGTTCAAGAGAGGAGGGGACGTTGCCGTTCTGGTTCCAGGCATGGCAGCAAAGAATTCTCAATAGCCTTGAGACCTGAGGGAGAGGGGAAGCAGTGGGGTGGTTAGTGACAATGGCAGGCCATACTCCCCTAAGGATCAGGGAGGAGTGGTGGGTTGCCCTGCCCCGAGGGTACCCCTGGGACCTGTCCAAGCCTCTCGGATATCCAGAGGGCTAGGGAGTGGCTGAGACCTGGGGCCTTGGTCAGGACAACAGGCAAGGGGTGGCCTCGGGCAGAGGATGAAGAGTCCCTTACCTGATGTCATTCTCCTGGCTCAGAAGGTGCCAGCTGCTGCCTCAGCTGGGTGTGAGGACTCAGCCCCTCTGGGACCCTCCGCCTGCCATGGCTGAGTCACGGAGCTGAGGTTGGAGTGAATCACTGCTGGGGCGAGAAAGCACAGGGTCTCTATGAGCTGGCTCAGCAAACTCCCCCAGTGCCACCTACCCCCACCTCAGCCCTCTCCTTGGTCCCTGGATACCAGAGCCCACTACAATGCCACCCACCATGACACCACCCCCACCCAATCCCTGCAGCTAAGACTCAAAAGTCCTCTGGAAAATGACCTGGCTCTGCCCCCTCCCAACACACACACACACACACATACACACACACACACACACACACACACACACACGCACAGGGGCAGGGCTCACCTGGTGGCCAGGAGGTGCTGGGACGTCAGGTCTGCTGCTGCACCTGCAGCTGTGGCTTCAGCTCACCCCTGGGAGGGGAGCTGTGCTGCCTGAGGCTGGGCACCTGCCCTGGGAGGCAGCTAGGGTGCCAGCTGGCTCTGCCGTGTCTGCAGGAGCAGGATGCGTCTGCCAAAGTTGAGGTTCCCTTGGAAAACTGGTTCTGCTTTAAGCATCTGCCCTGGGATGCCTTTTGAGCTTGGTGCCTACTGTTCTCTGCCTTCCAGACAAGTTTCCTGATTGCCCAAAGGGCCCGGGTGTTGGAGCAGAATGAGGAAGCTGGAGCATTCTGTGATGGTCTAAGAGTGTGGAGGGTGAGGCCACCCGGCCAGGGAGGACAGGTGAGGGGCAGGTGACAGGGGCTTCTTGGATGTTCAGACCATGTAGCACATTTGTGTGGCAGGTGCCTGCGAGTCAGGCCAGGGGGTGAGTGGTTGCCCTGCTTGACAGGGTACCCCCTGTGGGAGTCAGCCCCAGCTCAAGTCCTGGTTGGCAAAGGCCACAAGCTAGGTGTGGCAGGCAGGCTGGGGTTCTGGGCTGCCCCTCTATTCAGGTTGGGTCCGGTCACTGGCCACTGACTCATTGGTGAGGGCTGGTGTGAGGGCCTCGGTCTCCTCGTCTGCTGGCAATGGGGTGCCAGTTGGCTCACCTGCCTGCTCCAGACCATCCTGCACCTCCATGCCCCTCTGGATGAGTTGTTCCAGGGTCTTGGGCAGCGGGTGGCGCAGAAAGCGCTTGAGCTTCGGCTGCAGGGTGCCCACCACGTACTGGATGATCTCCTCCTCCTCCGCATCCACGTACAGGGTCTGGTACAAGTCCCTCTTGCGCCACAGGAACTGGTCCAGCGGCTCACCCTGCTTCTGTGGCAGGTCCAGCTCCCGCTGGATGGCCTCTCGGGACAGCGTGCCCTCGCTGTACTGCAGAAACTCCTTCTTGAACTCCACCCAGTTCTTGACTGAGCCCTGCTTGAACTCCCACCACTTCTTGGCTGGCCCGTTCATGTGGTTCTGGATCTGCGACAGCCAATACTCTTCAGAGCCGCCCACCTGCCTCAGGTACTCTTCCAGGTGGCTCAGGAACTCCCGGGGGTCCTCAAAGATCTGTGTGTCCACGCCAGGGCTTGGCTGCCCGTCCTCACCTGGCCCCCACGGCTGGTACTGCTGGGCCTCAGCAGGCTCCTGTCCTGGCAGCTCTCCCGCAGCAGGTGGTGGGGTGATGGCATAGGGGCTGACAGTGTAGTCATAGCCGTCAGCCTCCTGGCAGTAGCTCTCTGGACCCCCCACACCTACAGACACGGTGTGGCGGGCCTGCTCGTTGCCCACTGGATACTTGCCACCCATGGACTCCAGGCGGTCGGCCCATCGCTCCAGGCGGTAGAAGACCTCCCTCCACACGTGCATCTCCCGCTTGACCCAGCGCTCCAGGTTGGCGATGGTCTCCTGGCAGCGGCACAGACACGCCTTGATGGACTTCTTCCAGCGCTGCGAGTCGCCGGTGGGCACATAGCCGTCCAGGTTGTTCTCCAGTTTGCCCACCGACCTGTGCAGCCCCTTGAGTTCCCGCTCCACCTGCTTGGACACCTCGGTCAGCAGGTGCCGGTGCGTCCTCCGCACGTGCTCCAGCATCTCCGCCCGGCACTTACCGATCTGCAGGATCACGTTGGGTTTGGCGGCCGGACCGCCCCGTGGAGCAGGGTAGGCGTGGAGGCCGCCGGTGGTCATATGGTCCAGCTCCATCTGCGCGCAGGTGCTGGCGCTCCGGGCTTGTGCGGGGCGGGCACTGGCGGGGCGCCGCGGGTACCGGGGCGCGGGGCGGCGGGCAGAGAGGCAGGTGTGGCCGGTGCGCGGCTGCTAGGGCCCGGAGGCTGCGGCTGCGGCTGGACC